TCATCTTCTAAACAGATCTTTTCGTAAGATGTGGGTCCTAGTCCACTGGACAGAAACGAATCAGAGCAGCATTCTGGACGATTCCATGGTGCCAGATAAGACTATGCTTCAAGATAGCACAAAGATTGGAATGGTTGAATACGGTGATCCAAACAAAAAAACACCAAAGAATGGTTGGAAAGCTTATCCAGTTGCTGTGATTGCTGTTCATAGTAAGTCCGAATTAGCATTAATTGTTTGTACAGTAGTAGAGATTTGGGTACTATGCCCTAGACCTAGCTAGGAATGCGCACCGTTTCGGCCGCGAACCAGTTCGGCCGCGATGTATTTACATCCAGAAAATCAGGATATTAAGTGTGTTTTGTTTGTCATATTATTAAAATGCTAGGCTATACTTACCTTACAAATAAATAGACTTATGATACCAGTTACCAGTGAGAATTTTAAGTTCGTTAAACTTGGAATTTACACTCGTTTCTTATATGTTATGTCTGGCCTAGGCTTCCCTTTGGCGAATTGACGTAAATAAAACATGTTTTTTTTTTTGCAATTCCAACAGTCTTTTTATTACTTTTAAGTCAATACGCATATTTATTATATTATAATTATCAGTAGGCGTAGGCCGAAACGGTCCTAGACCCTAGGCATAACACAGCAGTGCCTCTCTCTCTGGCCCCAGGGCCTATATCTGTATCATATGGGGAATTAGGATAGGCTAGGAATATACTGTAGGCTAGGTGGTTCCTCCTCTGCCGGACCGCTCTGATAGGCCTCTAGGCCTAGCCTAGCTTTGTAATTGTAGGCCTATCCTAACTTTACTAGGGCCTCTCCCAGCCTGGGTCCCACATAGGGGTTATTAGGGCCTAGGCCCCTATTATATGTACCGTGTGACTGTCTTCATCGCACAGAACACATCTTGTATATGGGCAATTTCACGGTAGCGGAATCACTATTTTGCTGTATTTTTTAACTTTAATCTTATGTCATATTTATACTTCATTCTAATTCTTAGAACAATTGTCATATTTACATAACTATGAAACCCATCTGTACTTTCCACCCTAGTTTTGTTTAATATTGATATAATACCAAAAAATATGTATGGGAGCGGAACGACAAAAAAAAAACCCCCTCAATTTTACCACTATACATTTTACTAAAACCCTCTGATATATGAAAGTGATTTTAAATTTGAGTATATCTCAGTTAATCATTATTTAGTGTAGTTTTGAAAATAAAAAATTAATTAAAAAAAAAATATATAGTTTTGGAGATATTACTAAAAATATATGACTAGGGCCTATGTCTGGTAGCGGAATCACAGTAGCGGAATCACCATTGATGCAAGTGTGTCTAGAATTAATATTTCTGAAAAACCTGCTTTACTAAATGTAAAATCTTTCACATTTTAACAAAAACAATTTACTAAGGCAAAACTTCGCAATTGAAACATATATAATTTCACTGAATTAGATCTTTTAAACAGAATTATAAAAATTAACGAAAATTATGTATTTTTACTGTAACCACCAAAACAAAATTACATTATATATATTTCAGTGGTATGTCTAGAATTTGACCAATTATACTAAAATAGTATTCTGAGTAATTTAGTTGGTGTAAATATTTATGTTAAACAAATATATAATATAATTTATGAATATAACTATAGTAGCGGAATGACAAATTGGAAAATATGCTTTATTTATTTTGTAACTGATGATTCTTAAAAGAAAAGTAATTACAGTGTTAATTCATATAACTATAAACCCCTAAAAATGATTAAAAGTGAGTACTTATGCAAATATGCAAATTTATATGAGGTAAATGAAAATTGACAGCGGAATCACAGTAGCGGAGTGATTAAACAATTTCTTGATATCATACTAAACTGTTGATTTTTTTTAAAGCAACATGTAATATAACAGTTAATGGTACTTATTTTTATTAATTGTGTTCTCAATGACAATAAATTAACTATTGATGCAATATTCTTTCAGATCCATAAGAATAGACTAAACACTGGTCACTGGTTTGTGAGCCAATAGTAGGCACTTGGATTTAGTAGGCGGAGTAAAAACCAACCATACAAATTAAAATTAGTTGTTTATATATAAATAAATGTATTCCTAATTATTCAGTTTACTAAAAACAATCATTGATTAACAAGAACCTCCTTGAAATAAAACTCTAAAGCAGAAAGTTTATTGCTAAGTTTGCGAGAAAGTAGGCCTCCCCTTTTTCCCATACATATACTTGTGATTCAACCACATAATTGATCCAAATGCTTAAACTACTGTTTATTTGCATTATTTATAACCTGTGAAGTTTGTATTTCATTTGATACTTGAAGAAAAAGTGAATTTTGTGGTTATCGATGAGTAGTATATTTTGGTAGCAGAAGTACATGTCATTCCGCTACCAACTTTGGTAGCGGAATTACGTTTTTAAAACCATTTTTTTCTAATAATAATAAACATTTTTAATTTATTGCCCATGTTTTCTGATACATCTATCAGTAGTCTATTAGTATCTGTACTTTCATTTTTTTTAAACCAATACTTTTGGAGAAATAAAAAAAGTCACTTTTTTGGTAGCGGAATCACATAAATTAACCTAATTTTTGAAAATCAAAAAATATTAATTTTTATTTTAAAATTCATGATTTTTACCCGTAAATATGATAATAGAACCTATTAGATTTTGTAAAATAACATGAATTTAGAATTTTCCAATAAATGGATTCTGTCTAACAATTCCATTTAACTTAGTTGTTTTTGAAATATACCAAAATATTAATTTTATATCCTAATGCACTATGAAATTGCCCATATACAGTAGTTTTAAACGTATTTAACAACTTATAAAAACGAAAGTGTTGCTATTTTTCTTAGTTAAATTAAGTTAACCAAGTAATACAGCAAAAGCATAATTATTTTAATAACAAATAAAGGTTAATAAGGGGTGGGTTCTGTAATTACTAACTAATAATCATTCATCAATTTAATAACTAATACTGTAACTTCATTGAATTGAAAGATTAATATCCATTTATAAAAATACTTCTAATTTTCTTCAAACAGGTAAGAAATCTGCTTTAGAAGCCAAAGAAACAGAATATTTGAATTCCTCGGAAAGGAAAGATAAGGTTAGTCTGCGGCCTCAAGATGATGATAGTTCATCGAACAGTGATGCTGAAATCCACACTGTCAAAAGACAAAAGAAAGAGGTAGGTTTACAGCATCATGGGCCTGTTTGTTTTAATAATTTGTGTTAATACTACCTGTGTATTTTCTTTCAGCTTAATATACTGTACCCAATGAGGAGATCTCCTGCTCATTTAACTTAAGATGTTTTACTCTGAAAAAGAAACAGGTTAAATGATACACAACTGTATACTTTTGCAATAGAAATCATATATAAAATGAAGAATACTGTAGTATTAAGTTTTCATAGTGGCATTATTATCTTGAATTTTATGTTTTGGTGTCCCCTTTTCCATATGAAACCTACAATTTTCAATAAATTGGGACATTTTGAGGGTACATGGACACTGTAATTTCTTTCCTTTTAAGAAGTTGAAAATTGTCTTTGTTTTGACAAAGGGAGTTTAAATAGGAAAGGTGGTTTATGAATTTTAGACCATGTGTATGTCACACGTAATTGAACCTTATTGAATAACCGGGCTGGGGAAAAATATTTTTGTGCCTCCGACCACGAAAAGTATCTTGATCAAATGCCTCCAGGACCAAATATTATTTTTACACTATTTTAGCCAAACAGTAGTACATTTAGTGGTTTGGAGCAAGCAAAAATATAAAATTTAATTATATTTATGAATTTTATTTTGCCTAAAATGCCTCCGACCGCTGGTCGCGCACTTTTTCCAGCCCTGTGAATAACACCATTTGCTAAATCAACATTTTTTTAGTCCTATACAAACACCTTAGAGATGCAGTTGTTGATGCAGTCAATCAAAACTTAACTGTACAGCAAAAGGCCCAATGTGCAGACAGCAGTTGTAAGCCTGTTTGCACAACACTGGAATCCACGGACAAGGCAAAACAGATGTCGCCTATGTCTAACAGTAACAATGTAAGTTCTGGGTTTTTATACTGTTTTTTTTTACATTCAATCTGTATTAGTGCCCTTTAATTTAAATGTTGTCTACTACTAACAGGGGGATTTCCTATAGGCTTTGCTTCAGAAAATGTCCCTTTTATGCTTATGCTGGGTTCCACTATTTTAAGAACAGAAGCTGGTTGAACATGTATGATTCACTGTACAGTATTGAAAATTCTTTTCTCTTATGATGTGCATATTAGATGATGAATTAAACAGAATAATAAAGAGAACAACAATGTAAAGATTGTTTATATCTTAAGTGCAGTACATTGATTATAATTTTAAGAATGCTTAACTTTTCAGGATACGTTAGATTCATTCCTTTCGCCAGGGACAATTATCCAGCTTCTTCGAAGCCCTAATGCAGAAAGGCTCACTTGTGCTGCAATGACCAGCATGTTTACTACTAGTGAACTTGCAGCTGGGTTGGTAACCGGCCAACGCTTAAAAAAGGAGGACAAAGATCGGCCAGTGTTGGACCAATCAAATCAATGCGATAGTTGGTGAGTTACATTGTCTATTCTGTTTCTTCATTAACATGATTATTAATCTATTTCACAGCTTATAAATAGCATGTTATTGAACAGATTAAGTATGTATTTTTAATTTAAATTCAAACATGGTCATCGGTATGGCAACAGTAACATTTCAGTAATGAAACCTGCCATGCTTAACATCAGCTGTTTTCTGTGACCTGATACCTTTTGTATGCTTGCTGAAATGTTGCTATTTTATTGACTGGTTGCTATCATTCAAATTGCAGACATAGGTGATCTGAGGAATATAGTACATTGTACTATGTCCCATTGGACCCCCCCAAAAAAAACAAAAACATACTGTTCACACTTATTAACACTGCAGTGTTCACCATGAATGTCCTGCATCCTCTTT